TATGCTTTCACGTTTTATTACTAAGGAAAAATGTGAAATTACAAAACCAGATTATAGCTGACAATTAACTATTGCTCCTGAAATAATTTACATGGGCTTACTAAAGCAAAAAAGAGTTTGAATATATTATGAACACTTGTACCCAAACCATAATTAGAAACTTTTTCCAAAGCTCATCTTTTAATTCTTCCTTATGCATTTCATGGGCTAGAAGCAAAATTAATTAGGGTAAGATCTTCTAATATGATTTTTTTGTTGTTTTATTGCATCTGTATGAGTTTGTTCTAGATTGTCTGTAATCCATGTTTTAAATGGAGCTTTTAGAGTATGCAAATGTGTGACACTTAGATCAGTTTTGAGAATTTTAGGTTTCTTATATCATACAGTTTTGGTAAATGACAAGCAGAATTTTTTGCCCCAAATACACAGTAATGGCAATTTCTGCTTTTTAAAATAAAAAACATTTCAGTAATCACTCTTATGCTTACATGGAATGAAACAAAAATGAAAACCTTTCCAAAGAGTGTCTCTAAAATAGAAACTTACCAACTTATATGTCCTTTTATACAAAATACAATTGCTGCTTTCATCACAAATGCAGTGAAAATCTAATTATAATGCACAGAAGCATTTAGCACGGTGCAGGGCACATAAATAAATACAGTTTTACTGTGCAATGCATCCTGTTGCACATGAACTTGAAGGAGGGAGATAAGAGGCAAAATAGAAGTTTAGGATAAATTTCATACCCCCTTTTCATTTCTACCTACATTGTTACTACCACCCAGCCAACTCCCCAAGTCTTCATTTGCAAACCCAAACTGAGCTGAGACACTGCAACCACCCAACTGAGCCCTCAGTCATGACAGAGCACCCTACATCATCTGACATGGAAGTATACCACCGTTTCTCTCTCAGCTGAATTATCAAAATTCAGACTGTATCCAGAGTTTCGAATGCTTTCCTTCCATCCAAAATACCAGTGTATAGTGTTTGTTGGTGCCTGACATAAAATGTTCTCCAATAAATGTCATGTCTTTTGTATTTTTTCCGCTTTGTGCATTTATTTTTATTTATAGTTTTTCACAAAGAAAAATCTAATTTTAAAATCTGCAAATTTTCCCTGGTTATTTCTATTGTTTTATAAACAGAAAATTCTTTCCCATCCACAGATGAATTAGTCACCTATGTTTCTGAATCTTTTAATGGCCTCATTATTTATATTTAATTTTTTAATCTGTTGACACTGTAATTATTTTGGTGTGATGTAAGATAAAACTGTAAGTTGATTTTTTATTTTAAATAGAAGCAACACTTTATTAATTCATTCTTGCCTTCCCAATATTTTTTGTAGTTTTTTTAATTATTTGTAGTGATTCTCTGAATTCCAAAGAATGCATCAGAGTCATCTGGGAAGCTTTTAAAAAATACATTTCAGGGTTGGGGATATAACTCAGTGGCATAGCACCTGCCTAGCAAGCACAAAGTTCTGAGTTCAATTCCCAGAAAAAAAAAAAAAAAAAAAAAACGTATATTTCATTCTACCTTTGCAAATTTCTAGCACATCCTCCTAACTGAGTCTTAGGTCTACTACACATTTGTTCCTGTCCCCACTTTTGGGAGCCATTAATATGTCACATACTCTTTTCATATATCATCTAAAGTCTACTTAAAGGGCTGAGGATATAGCTTATTGGCCCTGGCAAGGGCAATGTCCTGAGTTTGAGTCCCAATACCAAAAAAGCTTAAAAAAATTTTTAAAATAAAGCATACTTCCAGAGGTATAGCCTGTTCCACTAAGTTTATCTTTGCATCTGCTTCCTAGCATTTTCTCGTTTTTTTTTTTTTTTTTTTTTTTTTTTTTTTTTTTTGGCGGGGGATCTAACTCACGACCTTGTGCTTGCTAGGCAGGCATTTGTGCCGCTGAGCTATATCTCTGGCCCACATTTTCCTTTTTAAAGGATAAGAATATAGATTAATATCTGGTAAAATAAGTTTCCATTATATAGGTTAAATTTCCCTTCTCTGAGATGCTTGGGACTAGAAGTTTCAGATTTTGAATTTTTTTTTCAGTTTAGTTTGAGTGTATCTGCAAAACTTCAGTGATTGAGCATCCCTAACCTGAGAATTCAAAATCTGAAACTCTAAAACTTTTCAGGCTGAGGAAGTGAGCTCAGAGCTGGATTCTTGCTACCAAAAGAAAGAAAATAAAAAAGAAAAGATTTCAAGTTTTCAATTTTTGGATTAAGAATGCTCCATTTATAGTTCAGATACCTAAAAATAATCGTTTCACTAATACATTCTGTAGTACCCAGGTTGCGTGCTGAGATAATGTGTTGTTTTTCTGTTGTGGACAGCTTTCAATAGGCTTTGGTCCCAATAGTTATAATCATATCAGTTCTACTTTTATATCAACAGACTAATTTTTAACCTTTTAAAGGTTAAAAATAAAACCTTCCATACTAGAAGAGAATTGTCTTTCTCTGATGATAATACCATGGGAATTCAACCTCCCCCACCCCCAAACCTATCTCTATACAGACTACTTTCCCAAAACTCATGGGAGTCCTCAGCACTGAAGGCTCGTTGCAGCAGCCAGACAGTTCATTTTGACCTTGTTGGTTGTTTTTTGTTTTTAAGAGAAGATCTGCATATGTAAGATGTGAGTTAAAAACTTGTTCTGAAGATCTCATAAGGTGAGAATAGGTACATACTTCAAAATTTCCTTATGCTATGCATTTCTAAACCTAGATTCAGGGGAAATAGGAACAGTATTTCCTGTTTGCACCCACCAGTCATTGCTCAGTAAGAAATAAAAGAGTAATGTAATAAACAACACTAAATTTGGTAAGTCAGTAGCATGTTTTTCTAAAAATGTAGAAATTGTCTCAAGATTCAGCTTACTTTGAGTCATAAGTGAAGCTTCTATTTGTAAACAGTTCATTATGAGATCACAGGTTGACTTTTATTGCAGATATTTTATTGCAAATAATTTTATAGAAAAAGTTAATTCAGTATACTTAAAAATTATTTTTTAAGAAGACCATGTACAGAACTTTACAGAAACCATATCTAATATTAAAATGAGGTAACTTCTATAACTATATTTAATTAATTTTAATATTCCTTAAAATGAACAATAATAATTGCTAATATAATTTGACCATTTAAACTGTATTTAGAATATATACATGTAGGAATACAAAATATTTACTAGTATTGTAAGATAATTGTTAATTATTGCAATAAAGGAAAATCAAGGTTTCCAATTATTTAAAATAATACAAATAGAAGTGATGGATTTCATTTAGCTAATATTAACACTGTCAGGAAAAAGTAATTTAAATAATTTTTATTTTTTCCTGAGGCATTAATTTTTCTTCAAATTTCAAATTTTTTAAATATACTTTTGCTTTGACCTGTCCTTTATTCAATCAGTTGTTTGTACTTGCTAAAATATTGGTTAACTGAGTACTAGCCATATACAAACTGAATCGCATTAAAAGAAATTTAACTCTAAGAGAAATCTTCATGCTCTTTAACATTGATTTCCAAGCCAGTGGCTTAACTTGAGTTTTATGAAGTGTTCTATTTAAGAAAAGACTTCATTCTGTGATACAAACTGATCAGTGAATGTTTGGAGTTTGTCATTCTAGTTTTTTCTGACCAAAGTGGCATTCTAGTTCTATCTGACCAAAGAACTACACAAATGCTGACCAAACTTTCAAGATTTACCTGTTGATGCCTTTTTAGACTACAATTGGTTGATGCTTTGTACAGCAATATTGAGACAGATTGACTAAGAAAAATAAGTATACCCAATTTGATTTTTCTTCTAAGCATCTCCTCCTTTCCTTTATCCCTCTCATTCATCCTTCAAAGCATCCAATGCTTCATTCAATTTTTTATGTATTTATATTATATATTTTTATATTGATTTCCTATGTAACAAGTAATAAATTAAGCTCTGAGGAGTTAGTAATGAACAAAAGCAAAGATCCCTTTCTTTTAGAGTTTACTATCCATTTTTTCCAGTACTGAGAATTGAACTCAGAACCTTAGCACTAAGCTACATCTCCAGTCCTTTTTATTTTTTATTTAGGGACAAGGTCTAATAAGTTGCTAAGTTGCCCAAGCTGGGAGGAAATTGTGACCCTCATGTTTTAACCTCTCAGAGTGCCAGCATTACAGATGTGTGCTACCATACCCAACTGCCACTTACTTTCTAACATCCATGAAAACTTGTTTGCTCCTTTTAATGATAATCTATTAGTTTTATTCATTGTTATGAAATCTTTTAAACACCTAGTATACCCACCCATGTACCTATCACCTAGATTTAATAGACAGTAACATTTTTCCAAGTTTATGTCAAATCTCTCCAGATATCAGTATTTACTTTAAAAAGGGATGTATGTTATATATATATATATATTACCATATATGTTTTGTATTTTTATTGTGTATATACATATGAATCCATAAAAATACATTGTTTTATGTGTGTTTGTATTTTACATAAAATAGTTCATGTAGTGCATGCCATTTTGCAAATCTGTGTCTTCTTTGTTATTCAACATTGTTGTGAGATTTCCTCACGTTGTTGTGTGTGTATAATTGATTACATTGAGATGCTGTATGGTACTCCATATTGTGAATGAACCAATTTAATTCTCCATAATTTTGCCCATATATTAGTTTCAATTGTTTCATATTATTAACAGTTCACTAAACATCATTACACATGTTTTCTTGTATACACATCTGAGTGATTCTGTAAGAAATATACCTTGCAATGAACCTGCTTGATCATAAAGTATGCATATCTTCAATTTAACTCTATTAGTGTGGCTGAAATAACTAAATTATTTTTAATTTTGTTTTAAGTAAGATACAGATTTAAGTCCTCCTAAGATATTAAATTCTTACTTTTGTTTGATTTTTACTGACAGTATTTAAATTATTTCCATTTTATCTAAGCAATGAAGATAAGGTTCATCTTATTTTCATTAGAATTTTATTATTTAATCTGTTGATACAGATTTAGACATAAATGAATACAGGCTTTTAAAAGGACAATGAGCATTTTCTGACATTTGAATTCAGTCCCCAATTCACTTAATTTACTTTATATAGTATCAAGTACTTGATTCTGGAAACTATTTTAGTGACTTGAGAGACACTGACACTTCCTTTAGTTATTCTGTTGTCAAAGCCATGAATTGCACTTAACTTTCTAATCCATGTTAAGAGTGCTAGTTTAACAGTATATTTTGAGATTTTACATGCATGTTTAAAATTCAATTATAAGTATAAGCTTTTCTTTGCCTTGAAATATTTTACAGTTAAGCAAATGAAATTATCACAAGTATAAACAGAGGTTTGAGAAGGTCTGCATTTTATAAACTCTAAAGCTTTAGATGTTCAAGGAATTAAGAGGTTAGAGTATATCATTCTTTTTAGTATGTGTGCCTCAAGTACCTTTAGAGTTCTACTGCAGTTTAGCTGCTACAGATGTATCATGCAGGGAATATCCTGGTTTAAATTCTGAAGTGCTTTCACTTCTGCTTGCTTCACCTTGAAATCGTCTAAAAAGAAGTTGACACATTATTTTGCGAATATTACTGGACATCAGAAAATACATGACTGGGTCTAAGCAGCTATTGAAAGATGAGAGAACCAGCATGATCTCATTGGTTTTGTGAACGATTTCCTTCCAATAACATAATGATTCATTTAACTGTGAAGAAATGTATATGAATCGAAAGCCATGGTAAGGGACAAAACATATGGTAAAAATGATCAGTACAATAAAGGAATTTCGTGCTGTAATGGCATATTTACCAGAATTAGGAAATTTTGACCTCCTTTTAGAAATCCTCAGTAGATTTTTGCCAATCTTAATATATGAAAGGATTATCAGTAGGAAAATCAGCCAGAACATTACCACAAGAACAAGGTTAAAAAATGCTTCTCCTTTTGCATTATGCTTATCTCTGTAATGAAAACACATTGTAGAATTATGCCCTCCTTTCTTAAGTGTTAAAATAATCATAGTTAAAAATACAGCAAGAGCAATTGCCCATACTATACAGCAAATATAAATACTTTGCTTGGTTGTTATTGCCCTCCGTTGTTGTATAGACCGATTAATTTTTATGTAGCGATCCAAACTGATGAATCCAAGCAAAATAATGCTGATGTACATGTTCATATAAAATAGTGTTCCTACAACCTTGCAAAGGATCACACCTAATGTCCACTTGTTTTGGTTAATATGATACATTATTCGGAAAGGAAGGCAGAAAATGAGTAGAAGGTCTGCAATGGCTACATTAAGTAGGTAAATCTGAATGGAATTTCTCTTGCGATGGATGCCCAGAAATACGTAGAGGGCAATTATGTTTCCAACCAGTCCCACAATGAAAATAACAGAGTAGAATATTGTTAACACAGTAGACAGCAGTTGTTCCTCCATGTAACAGCTAGTAACATTTGCCGCTTCTGAGAAGTTCTGTGGGGCTTGGTCACTGTGATTAGTTACAAAGTGCATCCCATCGGAGGAGCAAGACAAGCCCCCTACTGAAGTAGTTGCCATTGTTACAGTATGACTTCTGTCTTCAGGTGATGATCAAAAAGAGACGCTAAATGACATGTCCCTTGTGTGTAGTTCTTGTATCTTCGGAAGTCTCCTATAAAAAATGCCGGACATTGAGTCATTTGCTATTTTAATAACAGCTACATTAACACAAAGCATAAATAATAAAAGATTTCTTCTCAGATATTGTGAGAAACTACTTTTTTCATTCCTTAGGCCATTTGAATAACTACACCATGTATGCAGTATCATCATTAACTGTTTCCATGGTGGTATACACTCAGAATTAGTTTCATTTATTACATTAAAATAATTATAAGACCACTCTTAGGGAAGCTGCTATGGATATAGAGATGGAGGTAAAGAGAAATTATTTGTCAAAGATGAACAGCGATTTCTCAAAAGGTAGATTCAGCCATGAATGAGTTGGGCCCACTGCTGGCCTGCCCAGCTTCCGACCCTCTTCCTGTCTTCCCCCTTCCCTTTCTATGTGGAATTCATTCATTTTGGTGTACATCGCCACAGGATGTGTGACAAATAAACTGTGGTAGTTTCTTATGCAACAATGGGAATAAGGAGAGAGACCTAAATTTATTCCTTCTCCACCTATGACCAACCTATGACCATAGAGGAGTACTAAGATCATTTGCCTACAGGAACATACAAGGAACATGACAGACCAACAGAACCAGCAACTGCCCCTTGTAGACTTTTGTAACACCACACAGGAGAACATAGTAGACAAACAAAACCAAATCAGGTGGCAGAGGCCAGGTAACCACTCCTAACTTAGAAACAGGGTGATCATGCAGATAGAAAATAAAATTTGCAATCCAAGATCCTGAAAGTAAACTGAAACTTAAATATGCCCTGGGTTACTAACTGAAACTGTTGCTAGAACCTTCTAAGAGATAGTGTGTGGATTCTACTTGTTCATGGAAGCAGAGAATGTTCCTGATGCTACTTGTTACTGGACATTTCCTAGACATTTGTCTGCTGTGATGAGCTCAGTCAAGAACCTATCATAAAGAGGTGGAACATGTAGGGGAGGATTCCAAAAGGTCTCCTCATATTTCTTTCTTAACATAACTGCCTTAGTGCTCTATAGAAGCCTCTTACTCTGAGTAATAAAGATCTTTTTTTTTTTTTAAATCGGTACCGGGGATCGAACTCAGGACCGCCTACTTGCAAGGCAGGTGCTTATGCCACTGAGCTAAATCCCCAGCCTGAGTAACAAAGATGTTCAGAGCAGAATTTTCAAAATCAGACCTAATTAACTGTGATCAAGAGCAAATAACTTCATCTTTTCTAAGCCTCAGTTTTCTCTTTGTAAATATGAAAAATATGTATGAAGAACTTGATCTGGCACATTAATGAGTGTATGTTCAATAAAAATTAGCTTTGAGGCTGGAGATATGGCTCAATGGTAAAGTGTTTGCTTAGCTTGTACAAGGCCCTGGCTTCTATTTTTTTAAAAAAGAGAAATAAAAGAAAGAAGGAACATAAAGGAGGGAAGTGAGGAAGGAAAATCTCAGTTTAAAAAACGCCTTTTGATTAATTGCATTTTAGTAGCTATTCATACTTAGCTATGTACTATTTGGAAAATGAAGGTAAGACAGAAACCCTGCTCTCAGTAAACATTTTTGTAACAATTTGCATTCAAACCTTGAATGCAATAATATAAAGTGGATCTTATTGACAGTAATTCATTTCCTTGATTTAATGTTATACACAGATAAAAATATTCAGAAGTATATAGAATTTCTTAAAACTGTACATGTAATTTGGTCAAGAAGAAGCCATTTTGGTAGAGAATAACATTCTTCCAAAGAAGAGCAACTGGCTGGGAAAGAAGAGCCCTAGAGAAAGCTGTCTCCCGAGTTTAGAGCAGTGGAATGAGAAGGGGAGAGCCAAGGGGGAAAGAACAGAGGGAAGGAGGGAGGCTGAGTCTAGTCTGTCCTATCTCTCAAATGTAGGAAAACAGATGTCACAAAGTTTGTAGAAACTTAGGGCCATGTTTCTTGTGATCTGACATTCTAAAAGGAAAGGGCAATGTAGGAGGCAAGCCGCCAAAAAATGACACTGATAATGCTATCTTGCATTAACAGGAAGAGGAAAAAAGTGTGTGTAGAGAGACCTGTGTTGCGTGGTTGTACCAAGAGCTTTCAGAGGCTCAGGTGGAAACAGCTTGTTCACTATTGAAAGGATGTTGAGACAATGTCCACATTAAAAATAATGTGACTCTGAGTTCTCAGGTAGCTGAAATGACTTGAAAAACTCATCTGTAAGTAATATGGATTTCTTTTTTCTTTCATTTACATTTTAAACCCCATTAAGATTAAGAACCAAGACTGTTTTGCCTCCGTGTGCCAAATGCTTAGCACAGTGAGTCTTGAATGACATAATTTAGTAAAAATACGTGTAAAGTTCTACATGTGAATATTAAAAGTGTTAAGTACTAGAAGAGCATTAACAGAGACACAACATCGCAGACACTACAACAATACAACACACTGTACCAGCAGTGTGATGTGCCTGCCACAAAAACTAATCCCATTTCTGATTCAGTAGATACATAGTATCTTAAATGAAGATTGTTGCTAGTGGCCTGCCTGGTTCTGTCCCAAGCCAATAGGGTCTCCCCTGCAATGTAGTGTCTCATCATCTTCAGCAGCCCACTTAAAAAAGTCTTGGGCCAAATGGGGAAAAGAGGAGGTCCAGATCCCAGAAGCAAATTGAAGGAACTAGGCACTTAAGCCTGTAGATGAGAACATTTCATGGACCATGGAGAAACAGGTTTCACCTTGTTATACATGTCTGCAGAAAGCAGAGCAAGGGCCAGTGATAGAAATTATGAAGACTGATGTTGCTTCCTTATAAGAAAACACTTTCCCTTATAAGATAGAAGGAAAGAATCTAACTTTGGAGGCAATACGATCTTGCTGCTGGAGATTTTCAAGACCGCCACCAATATCAAAGTTTATAGAAGGAATTCTCACTGGTGCTCAGTTCTCACTGCAGAATTCCCTGAAGGGCTTTTTAAACATACCAGGGCCTGGATCCTTCCCAAGATATTCTGATGTAATTGGTATGGAATGGGCTTCAGATACTTGTTTCTTTTAAAAGCTCCTCAGGAGAGTCTAAAGTAGAGTCAAAATTGAACTCTTAAGCTACAATACCAAACCATTAACTAATATTTATGTAGCACTTGCTGTGTACAGAGACTGTATTGAACATACTCATATTATCTCATTTACATAAATTTCACATTACCTGTGTGAAATCATGAAAGATCAGCAGGTTATGGTCCTTACTCCTGGCCACACTGCTCTGAAATGAAAGTGCCCAAGTTGAGACTCAACTCTGACTTTGAGAGCCCATGATCCTTTTTACCAAACCTCTCTCACTCTTATCATATTTCATCACCATTTCCTTCGTACATTGAGTTTGTTTGCAGTATTTTGACATGATTCCTTTAACACTATTCACCTTAGCAATTTTAAGAGATTATGTTATGTAGCTTTATTTCTTTGGAAAAATAATTAACCTTTTTATTCACTATGTCCATTATCCTACATAAATAAACTCAGACTTTACAGGAGCACAAATAATTCATTAGAATTTTTATCACATCTCCCAGAGCACATCTTTTCAAATTCACTTCTGGGCCAGATAACCATAATCAAGATGTTTCTAGAAAGCAGCTAGCACAAAGCACATATCCCAAAACCATTTGCCTCAGCTCTAATCTGCAAATAAAATAATAAGTAATAGTTGGACAAGACTACCAGTAAATCTTTCATAGTCTGAAACTTAAAAGACAATAAAGCAAAAGCAATGTATTTATTTAAACAGTACCATATCATGTAGTACTATGTATCAGATAGCTAGCATCCAATTATTTATTTAAAAATCAACAGATTAGCTTCTGTTTTAAAATAAGTGGCTGATGTTTGTGTCCTTTAAATTCTGTTGACATATTGCAGTGTTACTTACTATTCTTAAGGCTATTGATGGTATTCTGGAAACTACTTGATATGTTAAGAATTGCCAGTGAAAAGAAGAAACAAACCACAGTATTTGCATAGTATGCCTTATATGTCACCCATGTGCTCTATTGAAGTAGTCATGATTGTTTTCTAAGAGTAGATAGTGTTTGTTACTTGGCAAGCCCTGTCCCACAGTTTGTGACCATGTTAGTACATTGTACCTCCCAAGACCACCCCTCTACCTTCCCAAGTTGTTTTTTTCAAGTGGCTGGTGTAGGAAGCTGCACTCTTGAGATATTGAATGGGTAGGGACTCAGCAGATTCCATTGAGGTCCCAGATAAGCAGAAGATTTTCAAATACAATTTGGGTGTGTTTATGTAAATGGAACATTGCTATGTTAAAATACATACCTATTTCAGTGGTAGGAACCTTTCACTGGGTTTAGTTTGACTCGATAATGACTGAATCCATTCAGGTCATGCTTTAAAAACGGCGATAACTACTGAATACAGAACAAAAATTAAAATCATACTACTTTGGAAATAATACTATTAGTAGTATATTAAGCTTTCTTATAAGCTTAACTGTGCCAAAAAACTTAATTTTAGTTATTTGAATTAACTAAAGTATATTTTGCTTATTCTTTTCTTTAATTTTTGCCTTGTTTCTGAAACATCAAACTTAAAATTTAATTGGTCTGATAATTACCCTAAAGTAGTGAAAATATAATAAAGAAAATACTATTTTTTAAAAACATGGAGATGATATAACAAAGTCAAACATTATAGGTAATTTATAATACATTAGAACTAAAGTTTTGTATCATCTGAAAGTAACGTTTCATTGATTCAAATAGATCTGTAAATCTTTATGCCACTATACAAATACAGTATAAGCAATGTGATTATATTAAAAGTAAATCAAGATAAAGATGACATTTAAGCAATTTATTCAGTGACTCTAAAAGCAAAAAACTGATAATAATCAAAGTAGCCATTATAAGCATGAATCATGTTTCATTTTGAATGTTTAGACAATCAAACTTAAACTAAAATTGAGGCTAATTTGTGCAGTTAAAAACAAATCAATGCGTACTTACAGTTCAGACTTTCTTGAAGTACAAGCAGCTAAACCCCAAGCTTCCCTAGACTGGGCTGGGTTTGTCAGCTGAGCTCTTCCATCCGGTAGTGGTGCAATTGGTTGGGACCTCTTCTTTTTTATATTCACATGTGGTGATAAGGTTTCTTTTTCCTCTTTTCTTTCTTTTTTCACTATGACAGCCCTTAGACTCCTTTTAAAGATATTAAAAGGTCCCACCACTATGCCACAATTTTATAGTGCATAACTTTAAGAAATTATATCTTCTTTATGAATACCCTCTGACTAGAAAATTAAAGAAAGTTTCTCTCACCCCCAAAATTTAAAAAAAAGTTTTATAAATTGTAAGCGGAAATAAGTATTTCCTGTTTCCTAAGAAATTGTATATTTGTGCTATATGGACATTTAAAGCATAAGCATTGAATTTATTTAGTTCTGGATTCATTTTAGAAATTATCTGCATACTGAATTATACTAATGTTAGTAATAACATTTTTACTCTTTTTTGCTTTTTATTAGATCTCTATATTATATTTGTATATTTTTATATATACATTTAAGAACTTAGATTTATTTTCTAAAACAATCTTACAATTTTAGGACTATATGGCATTTGTGATTGTATTCTACCCTGTTAATCAAAACAATAAATTCATCCAAGTAAGTTAAAACAAGCTATATTTTAAGGAAAATAATTACAGCATTATGCATGCTTTGTTTTGGTCCTAGTGCAGTATCTAACCACCACCAGTTATCTATATAACTGCTGGCCCTGCAGTTTAGTATCATTTCCCTTTTCTTTGGTGTCATTTGGAATAAAAATTAGCTTTTATCCTCCCCATAACTGTTACCCTATAGCTCTGTTCAAATAACATTTAATTCATCTACTTTTATCTAATATTCTAATTTCTGGTTATCCTCTCCTGAACATTGTATCCTGCAGAGCTGTTAGTTTATTATAAGTATAATGCATTGGGCTATATTTTTATTTTTATCTATTAGTACATGTTTGCAGTACACAATGCTTATATTCCTTGTAGGGAGCTAGCACATGTACCTAATACATCTTAATTTCTTTTTCATCCCCTTTCCTCTTCCCCTTCTCCTCTTCCCTCAGTATCTTGGGAAACTCAAAGTCACAGGCATAGGCAAGGATTTTGGGAACAATCCTGGTTACACAGCAAATAGTACCAAGAATCAACAAATAGGATCATATCAAATTTAAAAGCTGCTACACCGGAAAAGAAACAACAGAGTGAAAAGACAACTTTTACAGAACAGGAAAAATTCTTACCAGCTACTCCTAAGCCAGAGGCCTAATATCTAGAATATATAAAGAACTCAAAAACACTCTGCTCCCAAAGTAAAAGAACCAATCAAAAAAATGGGCAAGTGAAAAGAAGAGGCATTTCACAGAAAAACAGGCAATATTTTTAAATTGCTAGAATAAAAAACATTTTGTAACCTTTACTTCCCTCTTAGAACCTCTAAAAAGGAATATGATTACCATCCTGACCTGGGAGTGTTTTGTCTTATTGTGATAAGGATTGTACATTACATTTACCGTCTTAGCTGTTTTTAAGTGTGTAATTCGGTGGTGTCAAGTATTATCGCATTATTGTGCAGCAGATCGCTAGAACTTTTTCATCTTGTAAAATTGAAATTCCATGCTCAGTAAACAGTATTTTACAAGGTTTACTCAGAAACTTGTTAAAAATGTGTTCTCTTGACCTCATCCCAGACCCATGCCAGGAATTCTGGAGATGGGGACCAGTAATCGGTAAGATTTTGATGCCAAAGTTTGAGAACCACTGCCTTAGTCAATTTATTCTCCTAATCTTTAAAAATACTTATCATACCATCATTCTTCCCAAACTTCCAATAGCCCCCTCTCCTTTCTCACTCCCACCCGATGACTGCTTTTATTTCATTGAGAAAGTAAAAGCCCCTTGAAGAGAACCTCCTCTGTATCTATAAATCATGTAGAAAATTCAAATTTTATATGTATTTTTATATCTAAAAATGTTTCTTATTTTTATATCCTACCACTGAAGGAAAAGCCAATAATCAATGAAAATAGCTACCAGTGAGGAGAAAGAGATTGCAGGCAGGGGAACAGGACAAAATTTAGACCGCTCTGAGTGGTATTTGATTTACAGTTTTGACTTTGGAACTATAGCCAAGTGTTTTTGTAATTAAAACACCAAACTAGCTGGGCATAGTGGCTCACACCTGTAATCCCAGCACTTGGGAGGCTGAAGCAGCAGGATCATTGCAAATTGAAAACCAGCCTGAGCTACAAAGTGAACTCAAGGCCAGCCTGAACTACATAGTGAGACCCTGTCTCAAAAAGACAAAAAAAATACCAAACTAAATCTAATTAAAACAAATGAACCTTGTTACATTACAAAACGGAAACATAATCACGAGGAGAATTATTTTAAGTGACTTTGAAATACGATGGGTTTTTCATATGTAATTTTAGGCTTATCAGAAAGCTAAAAGTATGATACAAAGATACTTTTCACTCAGATGTTAATTCCATGTTAACATTTTTTCACATTTATCCTTTTCAATCTCTTACTCTTCTCTCTCTCTTTTTTGAAGAGCATTAATTTATTATGCCTTTGAAGTCCTCTATGTTCACGTATTGAATATGATGAAAGTATCTCAAAACTAATAAAAAGCAATAAAAATTATGGCATAGAAATTATGCTTTCTTTCTACTTTTACAGTGGGATTTTTAAATTATTTACTTAATCTGATTTTTTGCTGCCACTTTTGCTTAAAAGATAAGCCAATTTAGAGTATGCTGTTACTATTAACAAGTCTGCTTATTGAATTAGTCTTCCAATAAGCCTATAGCTCAATTTTTAACTACTCCAGTTCACACATCTTTTCTTTCCTTCCTCTAATCCAACTCTTTTTAGTCATTTGAAATATAAATTCTTGCGTGCTAATTTTTCTACGTTTACAGTATTTCACAAACACTATGTAATTGCCAAAATAATCCACTTAATGAGAATTGGACATTAATAATGAGGTATGTCATTCTCTGTATCAATTGGGATTTTAAGTAGAAATGTTCTTACTAATTTATCTTGTATTTCTTGATGTAACCAACGATAAAACTTGGAGTTCTTTAATTTTCACTCTAAGAAGGAAGTATTATGTGCATTAATATGAGTTTGAATGGTTTTATTTTTCCTGTGACCTATTCTTAATAAACATGATATTATTTGAAGAAATTCCAGTGAATCATTTTCCTTAATTCTTTCCATATATAAATTATATTCTGTAGAAGGCTAGCCTCTTAAACAAAAAAACTTGCCTTATAACTTCAACATTGTTTTAAAAACTTGCCCTCAATTTTGTTCATTCACATGGATCTGATGGCACTGTGATCCTTCATTAACTTAGTATATGTTAATAGTATTAAAATACTTCAATAAAATATTAAATGAATGTTAGAGTTGATGTTATCTACTTTGTACTTTGTCTACCATAAAAAATATAATAAAAGTATACATGCAAAATAAATAATACATACAAAGTTTTTAAAGTATAATACATTTGATACATCAGTCTCCAAATTGACATGTATGGTTTCTTTAGGAAATTCTGATGAAAGACTGTGATATTGCATACAATTATATGTAGTTTAATTTTACTTCCTTAATATGATTAATTGCATATTAAACATAAGTTTCTACAGGAATTCCAAGATATTTTCAGTTGCCTAATTCTTACAGGTTATTGAATAACTTGGGTAGTGGTCTGATTGCTAGAGACCTCAGAAGTGATGGTTATATTGACATAGGATGTGCATATTTTCACTGTTTTTCTTTCATTACAAATCTGTTTTGGACCTGGCTTGGTGGCACATGCCTGCAATCAATTCTAGCACTCCAGAGGCTGAAGTAGGAGGATTGCAGTAAGTTCAAGATGAGCCTGAACTGCATAGTAAAAGCCTGTCTCAAAAACAAAAATCTGTTTTAGCAGAAACCCCTCTTAAAATTGGAACCACTTTGAGTTTTGAAGAGCCTTGAGAGATAACAGTGGAATGTACTCCAACTCTTTAAAGCTTAGCTGCAGGAGATGTTAAGCCTGTGTACATGATAATTGCTCCACTGAGTACAAATTTGATGGCTTGTTTATCAACCTACTATTGTGACACGACAAAAAAAGATATTTATGAGGTAACCTTAGAGTTGGATAACAGGCCTTTCTCTATCTAAAATATAATAATTTTCCATTTACTGTAAGGATTTCTGTATGTTCATGGCATCACATTATTTTGACAGCATCTTTCTTGGGCGTGATATGGTTAAGCAATGGTTCAATACCTGAAAATGCTCTATCTCTTGATTTTAATACCCTTAATAACTGAAGTTTTCAACTGGAGCAGTTGGACACATTTTCTTTTCCATCAGATTTCTTCAACATGATCCAAAGTAAAAGGGGAAAGACCCAGAATGGGAAAGAAATTGAATTAACAAATGTAGGATGTATCCCTTTATGCATCTGTCTTTTTATTCATCCATCATTGTCTCTCTGAAAAACAAGTAACTTTTATATTCTCACAGTGCCATAATCAAAAATCAGAGAATTCAACACTGAAAGAATATTTTTATATCTTTTACAGCAAAGATAAAAACAAGATCATGTATTGCATTTAATTTTATATTCCTTTAGTTTCATTTAATACTTTTAATCCAAAACTGTATTTGAAGACCATAGGCCAGTTACTTTCTAGAATGCCTCTGTTTGGCTTTCTCCAGTGTTTCCTCATAATTATATCAGGTTTGCGTGTTTTGACAGAAATACCACAGCAGTATTGCTGAATTCTCAGTGCACTGCATGAGGAATCACATGCTATCAGCTAGTCCCATTGCTAGCAATGTTAACTTTATAATTTTCTATACAGTCTCTCCTCTGTAAAATTACTCTTTCCTACTTTGTAATGAGTAGGTGTCCTTCGGTGTGATACTTTGATATTAAATATCCTAGCATTCTTTAGACTTTCACCCACTAGTTAGGTCTTTGATGATGCTTGCCTGAATCAGGATGATTTTTTTAAAAACTACCAACTGATGACTTTCTTAATTCCAGTATTTTTTCTATATTTAATTTGTCTTCTACTTTTAAAAAAAAGCCTTTCCTTCTCCATTATGCACTCACTTCCTTTTTTATTTATATTAGTATAGACTCGTGGATTCTTGTTTTCCTCAATAATAAAACAATATTTTGACTGGGCTTGCTTGGTAGAGTACAGAATATCCTAAGGACAAAAGGAACCACAACAAAACTATAAACAGAATACAATGTTCCTGTTATTGGTGATGTAACTGCTGTTATTTTAATACTTATGCACACACTGATGGACAAAGCAAATGAGTAATTATATTAATATAATTAGGTGTCAAGATTACTGGCCAAATTAAAAATTGAGTAAGAAGAATATTAGTATAGATTTGTAATTTATTTTTTCCTTCTAAAAATATATATTTTTATTTCTGTCCCCTGAAAAATCAAATCAGGGGGCTGGGGATTTAGCTCAGCGGCATAAGCACCTGCCTTGCAAGCAGGTGGTCGTGAGTTCGATCCCCAGTACCGATAAAGAAAAAAAAAAAGAAAAATCAAATCAGTAGTAACTCAGCAGCAGTACTATACCTACTACCCATGATATGAATTTAAATACCTTTTCCCACTAAAAAGAAACAGGGCTGCTTAGAGAAATGACTTGATTCCAGACCTGGATAAGAAATTAACAGAATAAGGATCTGGGGATGCAGCTTAGTGGTAGAGCACTTGCCTACTACATGCAAGGCCCTAGATTTAATCCCAAGCACTAGAAAAGAAGAAAGCAAAAAAAACTAAAGAAATGAACAGAATAGCCAGATGTGGTGGCTCATGCAGGAAGATTGCAGTGAGTTGTGAGTTCGAGGCCAGCCTGCACTACATAGAGAGACCCTGTCTCAAAGAAAGAAAGAAAGAAAGAAAGAAAGAAAGAAAGAAAGAAAGAAAGAAAGAAAGAAAGAAAATGATCTGAGGCATCATCTGGTGCTTGAAACCAAGGATATCAGCAGACTCCTAGAGTCTTAAAAAAAATGAGAGCTGATTTAAAGGAGTCCCTCCTATCCAAAAGTGGAACAATTTAAGCACCAAAATAAAATAGGCAGCAATTAGTTAAAATACATCAAATATGTTAAAGTCTGTAAGTCCATGATAATACAAAACAGAACCTTCATCTATTACCTTTGGAAGTTGTCTAGAAACCAACTCGCTATTCTAGAAATAGTTTATAGTACCTTTAGCCATAATATCAAAAACCAAGGAATAGTCCAAATTTCTATCCACAGAACAAACTGATAAATTTGCACAGTAGGGTGATATTTACTCAGCAATAAAAAAATGAATTACTGATTAAACAAAATACATGTATCTCAGAAACACTCTGCTGAGTAAAGCTGTACATGCAAAAGTGTATATTATATGGTTTTGTGCATATGAAATTCTAATACAGGCAAAATAAACCTATGGTGAAAAATGTCAGAATAGCAGCCTGCCAATAAGCAGCAGCTAATATGCTGCGAATATGGCAGCAGAGATTGAATGTGAATCAAATGAGGGAGGTTTCTAGGGTGGTAACAGGTGATAATATTCAGAGTGTATAGTTGTATGCAATTCACTGAAAGCCTCTAATGGTAAAACCCTCTTATGTGTTTTATGGTATCTAATTTTTACCTGAAAGAATTTTAATCAATATTGTATATTGATGATATGTTGAAGTATAGTAAAAAGTAAGATGGAATGATGATAGAGGAATGAATAGATAGATATTTGATAAATATTTGATAATTATATTTATCAAATATATACAATTATTTGATAAATATAGCACAACATTGTGGAATCTAGGTGGTAAGTAGATGCTTTAATCATTTCTGTTTAATAATTTTCATAACAAAATGATAAGGAAAACTTCCATTTGAGAAGCCCAAATTATGGAGCTAGGTATCATTGGCTGCTCATATCATTCAGTGAAAAGTTGATCGTGAATCTTATAGTGGTGGGTCAAGAAGATAACACCTGAACCTGTTGCTGAATCCTGTTTCTAAAAGTAGGACAACCAAACATGTTTTTCCTGAAGTGATACAGTAGTCACACCACACATCAGTGCATAAGGCTAAAATTAAACCAGAATCTAATCAGGATTCTAGATTTAACCACCGGACTGGAGGTGTAGCTCAGTTATAGAGCACTTGCCTAGATGCACAAGGCCCTGGGTTCAATCACCAACACTATGAAAAAATCTTAACTATCAATGTGCCAGAAATACAGGTAAGCAAGGGACATATTTACTGATCCTGTATGGATATCATTAGCAAAATCCAGCAGCAATTTCTGTCAGCTTTGCCTTCAAACTACTGAATTTGATAACTTCTTGTTATCTTCTTCACCTTTGTCACTCTAGTCTGGTCTATATCACCATTTTTCTTTGCCCAGAGACCTTCTAACTGGTCTGTTAAGTTTCTACTTCTCCTTCCCAAAAGAACTTCCACAGGGATGTGCAGAAGACACTATTTGGATCTATTTTCTTCTCCTCCTCCCCCTCCTCCTGTTCCTCTTCTTTTCGTCTTCTTCCTCCTCCTGCCCATCCTTTCCTAGGCATATTTATTTGCTGTGTCCCACACTAGCATCATACTAAGGTATTATGGTTTAGATCAAGTGTGACCCCCAGAAGTCTCATGTGCTCAGAGGCAAGGCCTTTAGAAGGTGATTGGATCATGAGGGCACTATAGCTCATGTGCTGTTAGGAGATGGGGCCTGGTCAGGGAAGTGGGGGCAGGGATGAATGGTGTATCTCCTTCACCAGCCCCTGCCGTCTCTCTCTGCTTCCTGGCCACCATGGTGAGAGCAGCTTTCCTCCAACTAGCCTCTCTGCCATGCTGTTTTTGCCTGGAAGCCAGCCAACCATGGAATAAACCTCCCCTCCTTTAAGTTGTGGATGTCAGGTATTATGTTACACTCACAAGAAACTGAGTAAGTCACAAGGCTATTGCTTTCATATTCAATCTGTGGTCGTGGAGCTCTCCTTGAACCAACTGAATTTATTTCTATACAGATCTGCTTGCATTCTCATAGTCTCTTCTTGCTGCTTTGTCATGCTATAGTTCGCTCATCATTCATTTGGACGCTTGGTTTCCTTCTCTTTCTCTGGCTCTTGCCCACATACATTCTCATATTTGAGGGCTCATTTTTCTTCATGCTAAATTTTGTAAAGGCCTTTGAACTTCTTTGGACTGCAAGAGTAACTTTTTTTCGGTACTGGGAATTAAAGTCAGTGTCTTGTGCTTGCCAGACAGGTGCTGTGCCACTGAGCTGTAGCCCCAGCCCAAGAGTAACTTTTAAAGTTGAACCCTAATGCTCTAACTGGGCAGAATAAGGATCTCCCCTGTATCTATATATCATTATTAAATACCTATCTCAGTTATATAGTACACATTTTTCTTCACTATCATGGTACCAACTACCATGTCAGTCAAAACTGAACTAAAAATGTGTCGTTTTATGAATGAGAACATATATAAGAGTAAATAAAAAATGTATCTGTCCTCTGTGTCTAAAGAAGCTCGTCTTTTTTACCAGCCCATATTTTGAAAGCATATCTGGTGTAGCATTTGTCAAACTAGGGAGCACAAGATTTGAACAGAGACTAGAGGTCCCCACAATTACATTTTTTTCTAACACCAGCTCCAACAAGCTTCCAGAAATAATTATTAGTACAAAGCACATATGCTACTTAGCAGTAGGAAACTGATCAAATAAGGCTGCTCAGGGGCTGAGGATTTAGCTCTGCAGCACAAGTGCCTGCCTGGCAAGCACATGGTCATGAGTTCGATCCCCGGTACCAAAAATAAATAAATAAGGCTGTTTCTTGAGTAAGATGTCTTACCCTGGATGAGTGGCAGGCCAAGTGGTCTTTCTTCTCCCTTCTCTTCCTTTCCCTCCCACACCGAGAGAGGAAAGGCAGGTCCAGAAAAGAGGTAAATCTGGGGAAAACGTCAAATTTCCAGGGAACAAGGCTCAATTAAAGTCACTAAGTCCAAACATCCATTTGGTTCTCCTCTTAGAGGTGAAACAAATAAAGGAAAGAATAAGGGTAGATAGACAAAGAAAGGACCATCAGCAGCCCAGTCCCTAAGGACCAAGGTATAGTAGTTCTGTAGGTCAAGTAAGAGATTTCAAGAGACATTTTTACAGGGATAACATTTTTCCTAAAACAAGCCAAGACTGACAGCCAAAGAAAGAATATTGCATAAAAAAGACAGAAAACATCTCTGTGTTTCTTGAACATTCATGCTTTCCAAATAATTCTTAGCATGGTACTCTAACCTTAGAATAAAATAATTCCCAAAGTATTGGCTAAAATAGGTAAATATTTAGAGAAATCAGCTATAAATGATGATAGGACAAATAATTCAAGCATACAAAATAATTCAGAATCTTTAAGGTATTACTATGTTGTCATGTTACTCAGTTTTGCGTAAATTGCATTGTTCATCTTCAATTAATCTTTATCTTTGTATTTTTGCTCTCTCTGTCCATCTGTTTTTCTTTTTCAGCCCCACTGTGTTCTTCTTGCCTCAAAAGAAAACTCAGCACCTGTTAAACTTGGGGGCTTTGGGGTAGCTATTCAATTAGGAGAATCTGGACTTGTAGCTGGAGGTAAGTCCATTTTTTAAAAATATATCCTCCAAAATCTGGTCACTTTTAGGTTGGTGTGAAAATTTCAAACTAAATATGATCCCATCCTTGGTGTTTCATACTACATTCCGTCCCATCCCCAAAAAAGTACCATCACATAGTTTTGAATGCAATGTGTTTAGAAGCTTTTACACTTGCAGCAGCTGAAGGAAATCAAATCTAGAATGTGCGGATTAGCCACTTTCAGGTTCGCATCTATGGTCACTTTTAAATTTATACTATTTTTCTTTTTCTATTTATCACAGAATCTTGCTCATACCATCAGCCTATATATTTGCAAAGAGCAAGCAGATGTGAATACAAGCTGGTTTTATTATTAATCACAACAAAATGTGATTTAAGAACTCCATGCCAGAATAAAAGGGAAAACAGTTAAAATAGAAAGTTTCGTCACCAGTGTACAAAGGGGTACTAATTACAGATCAAGTATTTGGATTTTTATTTGTTGCTTTCAATACACTTCAGCTCAAAATGCTGCCCTGTTTTTAGTTCTACTTCTTAGTTTTACAAATTATACAATTCTCCATTCTTCACACTATCAGTCTTTGAGGGAATGTTTTTGCTTTTCCAAGTACTGCCAGTCCTCACAAAAGGAAAAATATCAACAGAACCTTTTAAAGTTGTCATCCTTCAAGACGGTTTATGTTAAATTCAAATACCTGACAAATTATAAATATCAAAATAATAATCTCTTACACTGGATATTTCATTCATTCAGCTTACTCGATTACAGCCAGATCATCACATACTAATAACATAAACTATCTTCTGAAAAATAAGCCATACATTGAAGTTACATTCCTTAAATCATTCTTCATCACCATTACCTTCTAAAATTAAATTATGTTTGTTTTCTTCTAGTTTCTACATTGTTTTTCCAGTTAATTTCTGATAATATGAAAAGCTATGTCAAGTATATTTTAAAATAATGCTCCTTTTTTTACTAATTTAAAACTTTTTGTAAATTATTGAAAGGTAGTAATGGTTTAATCATAGCATCATTGATTCCCAGGACGCCAAGGAACTCAACCTCTTCAGTCTTATAACCACTGATTGAATTCTTCCTTAATATTGTCAACAAAGGGTTCAGTTCTGGTTTAATTTCTCCAATGGCAAAGAATTCATTATGCTCCAAGACAGTTCATTTCATTTTTGGAGAACTCCTTAAATACAGTATTGAAAACTTTGTCCTTATATTGAACAGAAATCTGTCTTCCATACAGTGCCCCTAATTCTGACTTTTGAAATCATTCTAAACAATTTTCATCCTTCCAAATAGTAGCCTTCAGCTGTCTGAAGGCAGCTACCATCTCCCCCTGAGTATTATCTAAGTTTAGTTCCCTAGGTTAATATAGCTATTCCTCATAGAAACTGGTTTCATATCTCTTCATTGTCCTCCACAAAGGGCAGCACCGTAACTGAACACCATAACTAGAGGTCCAGTTGGTCTGCTACAAAATAGCATTGAGCCAACACTTCTTTTTTCCTGGGTCTAACATTTCGTCAGACTCCTTAAATTGTGTTAGTTGTTTGAACAACCACATAGCACTGCTAGCTCATATTGATCTTGTAATCAACTAAAAATCCTACATTATTTTTTCTAAATAAACTTTGCTATTAAACCAAGTCTCTCAATCTGGTATTTGTGCAGATCACCTCTGTGGTAATACTGTACAATGATAATACATAAATTCTGATCCCCAAGGTTAATGAGATGACATCAGTTAAAATGAAATGAATCCTTTTGTATGTTATATGGTGGCCATATATAATGATTTCACTTTTGTGACTCTGGATCTGTGTCCTGTTAGTATTCTTAATGTCATAGACACTATGTTTTATTTTGCATTCTTGATTAAATGGGCAAAAGTAGATTCATTAGTTTTACTTGGAAATTTTATCTATATGAAGCTATTTTCCTGAAGTCCATATACTCGCCCCTTAAATTGTACTTTACAGCTAATTTGGGACTGTGAGTGTATCAGTTATTCAAAATTTATAATTCTCTCTAAAACATTATGGTAGTCAAAATATTGTTATTTTTAACATAGTTTTCCTTATATTCTTGAAATAATTACTGAAATTATTTTAAAATAATTTTTAAAATTATTGTAAGTTTTTAAAAAATACACTATGAGTAAATAAAGGATAAATGATTTCCCTTAGAAAAAGCTTTCTTTCTATTTAAGGTGCTTTTGAAATTTTGTTAGTATTTATCACCTTTGCAACACAAAGCTGTTCTCCTGTCAGTTGGAATCTTTGATCATGCAGTCTTCCACATAGAAAAAGGTTCTCTGCTTTATATGTCCCATAAAAATTTTAAAAATTAAATATATTTATGTTGTCCCTATGTGAAACCCAGCCATTTGGAGAACTCATGTATCCAGAATATAATTTGGACCCAAAAATATAATTATAATGACAACAAGCCTGTTCCCATCTTTAAAACCCCACTTGTGGTCCTCTCAGTTGAGCATCTCAAGACTCTCTCTTCCATAGAAGAAAATTTGTCTTAAAAATGCAGATTCAGTTCCTTCATAACTTCCACCTTCTAGTCCTTTCTGAATGAAATACTTTTTGAGTCAGATGTTGTGGCACATGCCTGTAATCCCAGCACTAGGCAGGCTGAGCCAAAAGGATCACATTGAGTTCAAGGCCAGCCTGAACTATAGAGTGAGACCCTGTCTCAAAAAAAAAAAGTTTAAAAAATGAAATATTTTTTATCATTTAGCTTGTCATGTTAATCCCTCCTATTCTTTAAGGCTGATCTAACAATTGTGTCCTCTTAAAAACAGGGTGATCTTAACCATTGAGTTAGGTAACTCTAACATCTCTTCCTTTTCCTCCATATTACCAAAACTATCTGGGCCGTGTACCTCCATGTACAATTTGACACAGGTATTTATAATCATAGCAAAGAACGAGATTTGTAAGAAGTAGGAAACCAGGGCTTATTTCTCATATGTCTACAGTGCCCGCCGTGGTGTCTAGGAGCTACTTAAGAAATTGCTATGAAATTAAAGAAAGTGGTTGGTAGTCAGTTTCCGTTCAATGGCAGATTATAAAGAACAAATTAGGAGAAGCCAGTACTGGAGTAGTCACAGTAAGAGAAAAGAAATGAAGGCCTGACCAAAAACTATCACAAACCCAAATATATAAATATATTTATATATACTTACATTTATATATAAATATATTTTTTATATAAATTTATAGTTATAAATGTAAAAGCACAAACCCAAAACTTGGAAAACACAACAGCCTTTTAATACTAAAGAGAGCACACTTACATACCTTTGAAGTCCTGACAGTGCTTTCTGTTCCTCAGCATGTTCTTTAATTGACATCAAAAGTGATAACCTGAGTAATCAAAAAAAGTTTACATTCTATGCAGCATCCTGTGTAAAAGAAGTCAGAAAATTGTAGAAAGATGCCCTTATAAAATTATTAAAGTAAAAAGGGTTATATATGTCAAGCTTTAAATCCTAAAAGTATTGAAAGTGTAGGTATTCAGAACAAATCCTTTCCTAGAGTTCCAGGTAGGAAGATTTTATGATACTGTCAGAATATAAGATTTAAATACATAGAGTATTTCACAAACAGTGACATTTAATTTGGTTGAGTGATTCGTTTCCTGTTCTTAGAATTTTGTGGTCAAAGTCATAAAGTCAAGTGGTCAAACAAAGGAAAACAACAGCAAAACAAGGAGTTTGGTAAAGTCAGTGTATTTAAAGATTAACGCCAGTCCTTTTCACATTCTGCTGATGTATTTGAAAGAAAAGGAGCATTTCTGTATATTTTTTTCCACCATGATATTTCCATCATCTCTAAGTCTTGAACCTAAAGACATACATCTTCCCCAAGAACGAGCACTCATTTCCTAAAACTGGACAGTCTTCAGTCCGGACAAATGGAGAGAACATTCTTATGGTAGCCATGGTGGTTCTGATTACTTGCTGGGTGAGGCTCCCGTTTTGAGTCATCTGGCTTTTTCTAGTGTGGGAAGTTGTAGGAATCAAGTTGCGTTTCAAAGGCTCATCTGAACCCTCAGCAGATACATGATGGTGGTGGTGTACCAGTACTCTTGAGTGGTACCCTGAGCTCTTACCCTGCTTGTCCCCACTCCTGCCAGGTTCCTGTCCATGAGAACAAGGCTTATTTTCTAAGGGCCCTTCCCTGTCTCTCTGTCCAAGCTGCTAATGAAGTAAGTGACATAGCTCTCATCTCTTCAGCTTCTTTATGCTACTTGAAAAGGCAAAATAGGGCAATCCAGAAATAAAAATATTTCTCTAGCCAAGTGCTTCTAATCAGTGCATAGTTTGCACTGATCTACTGCACATTTTAAATGAAGATATTTTTACTATTGAAACTCTAAACTTACTGTCCTCTATTTTGGGGGCAGGCAAGGGAACCATAATGATCTACAGCAACAGTACATCCTCAACATGGGAGCTAAGTAAGACCTGCTCTATGATTTTCTGTTTCCACTAACTTAATAACCCTTGACAGACCTTGATGATATATCCTCTGTAGCTGGAACAGTAGATCTCTTAAGTTCTTTTTAAACTCTGAACCACAATTCTGAGCTATAAACATTAAAGTATTGCGCAATTTTCAAAGTAAAAATTATCTCGGATTCAGTATGATAATAGACAGACCAGAAAATGGAAGGAAGGAAGAGGGCTGGGCCTGCAAACAGCTAGAAGTACTGCCAAGTCTAGTGGACAGTGCCCTGTCCCACAGTAATTTCCCTACAGGGTACATGCTTTTCATTTCATAACAGGAAAAAATACTCCCTTTGGAATACTGAGTTAAAGATCGATATTAATGTGTAAATAACTTCTATGAGATTCCTTCCAAAAAGCTAGTTTTTTATGAGGGGGAAAGAAAGACAGAGGTCAAAAGGATTGAACAAGAGGAGCTTCGTGGTTTTACTTTGGTGGATGTCATTTATTTGCTCATTCTCTTCAAACATTAATCTTAGGAGGAAACTAAAAATTTCTATTCTAACAAAATAGCCTTCCCTGGTACCGATAAAAAATAATAACAACTATTAATTGCTTCTATCAACTCATAAAATCAACTTACTAGGATTGCAGATTCAAATTAATATTCCAAATAAAAGTTTTCTGCATAGGCTTCTTCAGGAATTTCCACTGGCAGTCCAAATTTACATTTTTACTATGGACTTTTTCTCTCTCCTGCCCTCTCTGTCCCTGACTCTGCCTCTTTCCTGGGATGGTTACAGCCTCTGCCTGCTAACTCTTATACCTGCCCCTGCTCCAAATTAGAAAATTTAAACTTCTTTGTGAAGCAAGAAATACAGGGATCCCTACGATAGAGCATGCAGACTTCCAGAGGGAATACCAGGGTCCTATCCCTGACTTGAAAATTTCAAGAGGTGATTCCAAAATCATTTTTTCCTTCTATTAACTTCATTTAATGAGGAGAAATAGAGAAATATATCTGATCTTTGTTCAGATTGTTGTTCTATTATTTTCAGTTTTCAAGTGGAAAGCCTCATTTTATATAAAGTTTACCTTGATGCTATCACTGTTTTAAACGTAGGGCGTGTTGGAACACCTCACTTTATGGCCCCAGAAGTGGTCAAAAGAGAGCCTTATGGAAAGCCTGTGGACGTCTGGGGTTGCGGCGTGATCCTTTTCATCCTGCTCAGTGGTTGTTTGCCTTTTTACGGAACCAAGGAAAGATTGTTTGAAGGCATCATTAAAGGAAAATATAAGGTAATATAATCTGATCATTTTACTTTTCCACTAAGATCAAATTATCATGAAGTGTGTTTTAAAGTTAGCATCTGTCTCTGCTCACTAGTGCACAATCAGAAGAAAGCTCTCTGTTTACAGAGTGGACCCAGTAGCCTGAAAAGGAAGAAGTAAGTTTTGTCGGGTGTTGTGCGCGGAAGTATCATCCAGATGAGGAAAACTTATGTGACCATTTTTTATATAATTGAGACAAGGCTTTTACTTTTAAAGTGTTTAGCTTAATTTGGAAAGGTAAAATATCATCCAAGTACTTTTAGTCATTCTTTAACTTTAAATTCATGCCAGCACACTCAAAACTTTTTATTTAGAGAAACAAAGCAAAACAGAAAAAAGAGTAGAAATATTACAGAATTTCAAAAAAACACTAAGAAATCACTAGTTAATAAATTGTATATTGTCATCTTAGAAATAGTTGTTCAAGTTACAATATCAAAGCATAAAAAGTAGATAGACAATCAAATAATGAGAGTACAAAGCATTCTGTTCGATAAACCAACAAAAACTTAGTAGTATCACAACCAGAACTTTTGTCATTTACATTCCAGGATACACTGAAATTGTGAGTATTATAACTATACTTCATAACATAACTCAGAAGCATTTTCATGTGACTTAAACCCTTTAGTAGCATTTTGATATGACTAAACAATTCTTCTTTGGTCACTGTGCATCAGAAATCTCAGATACTGTCACAAATTGTGAATATTGAGTTATTACTTTCATTATGAAAACCTTTAAGACATTACTGACATTGTGAATGGCTATATCAAAAAGTCCTAAAAACTTTTAGAAAGAAAGTAAGTGGAAGGTTGATTTCACTACCCCAGCTCTTTTTTTTTGAAGAGAAAAAAGCAGAAAATAAAAAACAAGAGACATACAAGCAACAACTATAAGAACAACAAAAAAACCCAAAGCAATAACAATACACACTTTCAAAATGAGATAGGTATATAACAGTGGTTGTAATATTATATATTGTTATCTTCGAGAGTTGCATAGATTACTAGATATAAACATGCAAATTGATCTTTTAAGGCTTTTTTTTTTTTTTTGCTCTGTACCACCGCATACAGCTGACAGGGATTAGGGGGGCTGGACAGAGGAAGAAGGGGGTATCTGCCTATCAGGTCAGGGCAGTGTCTGTTGGGGAAATTATTTTTCCTCCCATGATTACAGAAATTTAGATTGATGTAACACAAGATTCTCAAACTGTGAGGCTCCAAAGTTTTCTTTTCAGTTCCTCAGCCATGTTAGAGTTTTATGGAACTTTACAAAAAGGAAGGAGAGGGAAAGGAGGGGAGGCCAGCCAAAGCAAAATAGTTTCAGAATTGCAGCCTTATCCTTTTAAGCCATAATAAAAGCTTGTGTAAGTGAAAATATTGTAGACCTTGTTTTGCGCACCGTCAACTCATAAGTACAGACCAGGTTATTAGTTTGTTTTGTTTTGTTCAGTGTAAGATATGTCAAAACTCTAATAGAGAAGGATGTTTCAAGTGTAGATTTTTTTTTCTAGAGTCAGTTGACCACTGAGCTATAAAATCAATATTTTGAAAGTAACTAAATGCCTCAGGAAATTGCTTATAGTTAAACATCCCCTTCAAATCCCTGGAAATTGTGAGTGGTTATCAGGATTCCACATCCTGGGCTTTGTGGATAAATTCTGCCAAATCCAATGAGGTCGCAGATGACTAACATACATGAAAAAAACCACGATTAGTAATTCATCCGCATAATAATAATACTAGCAGTAATGGTAGTTAACTGAAACTTAGCACCTAGTATTACCAGAAACTACTCTAAGCACTTATTTTTTTATTTGTATTTTATTAATACATGTTTGCAGTACAAGCAGTTTATAGTCATCTTGGAGAATGGTTGCATTCATATACTACAGTTTTTTTAATCCCCTTCCCCTTTTTCTCCTCCAGCTCCCCTATCCCAATTTCCTTTTTATTTTAAGAGAGGAAAAAAAAACAAGGAAAATAAAACAGAATAAAGTCAATCAAAATAAACCAGAATAAGTGATAGAATACAAACAATAAAAACAAAACAATGAACGCAATAAAGAACCTCAAAACAAGCCAGTAGTAAATACATAATGGCTTCCATAACATGTCTTGCTATCTTTCAAATAGCTGCTCATGCCATCAGGGTTAACATAAACAAGACAAAAGAGAATAAACCCAAACCCAAAAGAAAAAACAATGAAAATAATATAGTTTTGTGGGAGGGGGATCTCCTCCTCATAGGTCATGGTTCTCTACCTCCGCAGTCCACAAATGTCACTGACTCAGAGAGAGGCTGGGTCTGACTGTCCCCAAGCTGGCAGCAGCCCATGCGTGGCGCTGAAATCTGTGTGGGGATCTCCTTCCATGGGGCCTGGTTCTCTCCCTCTGCAGTCTGGGAATGGCATTGACTCATGGAGAGAGGCTTGGGGCTGGCCCTCTACAAGCCAGAAGCAGCCCACCAATTTTCATTTTTGCAGATATTAATCTTAACTCAATAATGTTTAAATTAATTGAGGTTATTAGCTTCCTGTACACAGTACATTTTTATTCTTACTTCCTCTTTCCCTCCTCCTCACCCCTTACCCTTGTTCCTTTGGTCCTCTTCCCTGTTGCAAGAGATCAGTCCACCCACTTATCCCCTTCTATCTATCCTTCATTGTCTTTTATTGTGCCTTGCCACACTCAAATGAGAGATACCATACGGTATTTAAGCTTGAGTCTGTTTTATTTCACTCAAGGTATTTTCTACGTGCATCCATTTCCCTACAAATATCTCAAGCATATCATTCTTTATAGCTGAGTAGTATTCCATTGTATATAGATACCACATTTTCTTTATCCTCTCATCTGTTGATGGGTATACAGGCTGCTTTTAGGATTAAGCTATTATCAAATGTGCTGCTATAAACATTGGTATGCACGTATCACTATAGTTTGATGATTTAAACTCTTTGAAGAAGATACCTAGCAGAGAGATAGCTGGGTCATACGGAATTTCAATTTCAGTTCTTTGAAAAATCTCCATTCTGATTCACATCATGGTTGTACTAATTTACATTCCCACCAACAATGAGGGAGGGTCCTTTTCACCACAGCCATGCCAGTATTTGTTATCATTTGATTTTTTTTTTTTTTTTGGTCTTTTTCCTTTTTATCAGTACCGGGGATTGAACTCACGACTGCCTGCTTGCAAGGCAGGCGCTTATGCCACTGAGCTAAATCCCCAGCCCCCCTGATTTCTTAATGACTGCCATTCTTTCTAGGCTAAAATAGAGTCTTGAGGTTGTTTCAATTTGTATTTCTCTAATGGCCAGAAATGTTTAGCACTTTTCATATATTTGTTGATCATTCATATTTCTTCCTCTGTGAAGTAAGCATTTTACTTACATTAACTCATTTAATCCCCTCAGCAACTTATGATATAGGTATCATATGTTAAAATCTCACACCTGTCTTTTTGAGGTAGAAGCATTTGCTAACAACAGAATTCTTCCTTTGTGGTTGTTTAGTTGCTAAACCTCCTGGTTACCAAGCCAGTGTGCCTCACTCCAGTAGTGTCTTGTCTTAAGACTATTCACAGTGTCCAAAAATTAAATTAGTTTAAAATTCCCTTTTCCAAATAAAGACTATATTATAGTAACTTAGATAGATGGTGGCAACTATGTCATAATTTCCATACCTAGTTCAGAAACTTACTGTTTTATTTGGCTAATCTCTCTTCTTAGTTGTGTCTTTCCTTACAAAGGGCCTGGGTTTTCAACAACTTAAAGTATAATCCATTTCTGCAACCTATAATGAGCATCATGGTTCTTTTACATATACTGTGATATAATTCTGTCAATACTTATTGTTACTTTTTTATCATAGAAATTTTTAAAGCAAACAGAGTGGAGAAGCCAAGCATGATGATACATGCCTATAATCCTAGCACTCTGGGAGGCTGAGGCAGGAGGATTGTAAGTTCAGTTGCTCAGCCTGGGCAATTTAGCATCTGAGCAAGACAGTGTCTCAAAAATACAAATAAAAGGTCAGGGATTTAGCTCAGTGGCATAACTGGCTGCCTGGCAGGTGCCAGGTCATGAGCTCGAAACCTGGTACCAAAAAAGTAAAACATAAAAAATGTCTAAGGATACAGCTCAATGCAGATGCCCTGAGTTCAGTCTCCAGTACTGGGGAAAAAAAGTAGAGAACCCTAACCTCAATAGTTAATATATACAACCAATCTTGTTTTTTAAATTTAATTTGTAGGGCAGTCTTAGAATTTATTGTTGACATCATCTTCAAAGCATTATATTACAATTTAAATGTGGATTTCAATTTACCTAAGATATGATATAAATTGCAAATGGTTACATTATGCAAATTCTTTTTCTTAGCTGAGTGTAGGGCACATGTGTGTAATCCTATTATTTGGGAGGCTGAAGCGAGAGGATCAGTATGACTTTCAGGCCAGCCTGGGACTATATAGTGAGTTCAAGGTCAGCTTGAACAAAAGAGTGAGACCCTGTCTCAAAAACCCAAAGGAAACAAATAAAATAAGTTATTTACCATTTTATTTTATTTTTAGAAACAATAAAATGTTCTTTCTTTATTTTTTTTATTCCTTTCCCTTCTCCTTTCTCTCTTCCATCTCTTGGTCCCTTTCCCTTTTGCAAATTTGCATATTTGTATTCTATATACTACTAGATTATTTTAAACCAGATCTTAAAAACAATCATTTCATGACCCTGGTAGCTCTTCACAAAAGTACTGTTAATAAAATCATTGATCTATCTTAATGAATATTTTCAAGAAGAATTAGATGACGTCTTTTAAATACGATGTCTTTGAATTATAAGCTGCTGCAGCTCTTAAAATGATTTTAATTTGACTTCTTATTCTCATTTTAAGATAAATGTCAGAGACTACCATTTAACTGAAATATATACCAACACTTAAACTCAATTAAAATTCTTTTTTATAAAGGATAAAAATAAATTTCCCTATCTATAATATATATGTATATATAAGATGCAGGGGCATCTCATACCATTGTCACAGGCATCCAAGTGGTATCTACACAATAAAGTTCTAAATTACTTAAATGGGATTGTTTTATAGTCCCATTTTTGCCCCTTTGTATACTTGACCTCCCAAATTAATTTTATCTACTAGGAACAGAAAGCCCTGTATTGGACTTCCTCGTAAATAAGACAGGGGAGTATCCTTAGAAACTTATTTCAGAAATCTTGCCATCATCTCTAGATGATTTCTCAGTCCCTTTGCCAAAGATAAATTATTAAGACTTTCAGAACCACATCCACACCAGGAAAGGAGGGAACCGGGCCCCTTATTTGCATACCCAACATTCACAGCAAGCCTTCCAGAAGATTCCTTGGTTTCAGCCCTCACCCTCACTGAAACAGGCCTGCAGGGCTGCTACATAAGCAGCACTTCCAGACACTTCTTAGGTTTTAACCTGAGAGGGCTCCCATCTCTGTACACAGGGCTGTAGCACAGGCCCTATTAAAGACTCAATTTGGGGTTCCAGTAAAAAAAAATGTACATCAATCCCAAGATGGGGAAGGGGGAGACTATCAAGTCCTGTCTAGTTACTCACCTCCTTATTCCAAGTTGGTCAGTTGACTACACTTCCAACATGATGACAATATTCACACGATCTCATGACATTCACCCTCATGGGATTTGACAAAAGTAACTGCTATTTGGAATTCTACCTATTTGGAAAAGAAAATAAAACAGCCCACAATTTTAAAAGTTATCCTTAATATGGAGACACTTTTCCTTCCTCATCTACTGGTAGAATCACAATGCCTCACCTTAGCTAGAGCTAAGTGTCTATCTAAGTATCCCACAGCCAATTGGAGTTAAGTCCTTTGTGCTTTGAGACAAGTACTGTGATTTCATTTGGCTTTAAATTGTTGTTGAGTTTATCCTCCATCTTTCTCCCTTAGAAGGTAACATACATCTCTTTAACCAGATCTCTGCTGGTTAAAGGCAGGACATTGGGCTGGCCTTGTATCTCAGTAGTAGAGCATTTGTGTCGCATAGATGGGGACCTGGGTTCAATCTCAAGAGCAAGAAAAGAAGGAAAAAACGCCATGACATTTGCTTGAAGTTCATGGCATCAGGCAGCTCCCATCAGCTCTTCCAATCCCGCAGCTTTTTGATGCTGAATAGGGACTGAGGCCCTACTCCATCCCTGCCTCCTGTCACCCTAAGCACTCTGGATTTTTTTCTGATTTCTGATCTCAGCCATGTCCCCTTTCCTAGGAGCCTTCCAGCTTTTTGTTTGCAGACTCTTACTATCTCTCAGAGGTCTTTCAGACAACTCATATTGGTTTTTGTTTGATTTTAGTTTACCTTGTTGTTCAGTTGTTGCATCTCTAAAAGATAAAAGTAACTTCACTGAGGACAGTATATAAGTGAATTATTTTGTACAGTTATAGTAATAGTATCTTTTCCTAAATAATGAAATTTATATACTCTAAACAAAATATCCTGTTAATGATTATTTATATCTTCACAATTACTGATCCCAATGTTTTGAACATTTTTAAAAATTTTCTTTAATTTTTAAATTTTAAGTTTTATTTTAGTCCTTTCTGGATTAAGATATCCTAGTTTCCTTAGCTAAAATATCTAAAGATAGCAACTGGGTCATGAGAATTATATCCTTTAATTACTGAAAATACAACAATACGATAGCGAGAGCATGCATGGAATAATCACTGATACAAATTCTCATAAGAAATAGCAAAGAATTGTGTTTGTCTTTTTCTTTTTCAGAAAGAAAGCTGTTTAGAAACAGATTTCTGTTCTTTGCTGTGAGAATTTTATTGACACTGAAGCAGTACAGGAATATTAAAAAGTAATAATAAATATTAATTTCTCACTGATTGTAACTATGTAATTTTCCTTTTCTTCTCAGATGAATCCAAGGCAGTGGAGCCATATCTCTGAAAGTGCCAAAGACCTAGTACGTCGCATGCTGATGCTGGATCCAGCAGAGAGGATCACTGTGTATGAAGCACTCAATCACCCATGGCTTAAGGTATGTGAGCCCGTAGGTCGCCATCCATACTGATTTGAACAATCCCAGTGACCACAGTGTATTGTTCTATGAGGTGACTCTTTTCCCCTTATCTTTTTTCTGACCATTTTTCTTTAGTTTTTATCATCTTATTTTCTGTTCCTACACATCATCTGCAAATGTTTTAGTGGCATGCAGCCATCAAACAAGTACAAGAGCAGATAAAGACAGAATATGAAAGGAAGGCCTGTTTGTTCTCTGCCAACACATGTTTCAAAGAGGCAGTATGAACTGCTAAAATAATACTATATTGTAATAAATTAATTAATGATTTTCAGTGGAATCATGCACTTTTATTATTTTCCAGTAAATGCTAGTTATAAATTTATGGTCTTTGGGAAAAGGCACCTGTTAGAAAATCTTATGTTCCTTCCATCTTTCAAGTGAATATTAAGAAAACCTATAACTTGAGGCAAAAATGAAGTAGTACTGTTTAATTAAAACATTATACAGTTGAGTAATTCCAAGATTTTCACTTTATTGATGAGAAAACTAATGTTCTAAGAAGTTAATAATTTTGCCCCCCCCCCACCAAGAAAAACGTCTTACCCCAAGTTATAGAAGTTGTCAGTGTTGGAACCAAGATTTTAATATAGTCTGTCCACCACCCTAACATTTATATACTAGATTCTGTCACTTTCAGTCACTCAGTGACATTATTCCAGCACTTTTCTTCTTTCCTTAGTCATCAGTTTTCTGTCTGTTTTGGATCTAATATGCTATAATTTAGTTTTATTACTTATTTGTGTACATATTCACCTATACCATCTCTTGATCCTACAACCCTCTCTGGCTTCTGTCCTTATTCTGTTTTGTCTAAACACCAAAACTCATAGAGTCTCTGTACTTATTTCTCCCATTATTTTTTCTTAAACCTACCTGCGTCATGATCACAACCAACTCCAATAAAGTACCTCTTTTCAAGCTAGGACTGTAGCTCCATGGTACAGCCCTTGCCCAACATACATGAGGCTCTGGTTTCTACCCCGGCATCACAAAAACAATACAAAACAAACAAAAAAATCCAGCTCTTGTCAGATCATTACTGACCTTTACATTGTTAATTCCAGTGGTCAGATCCCAGAGCTTGTCCTTTGTGGCCTCTCAGCGACATTCGACATCCATCCTCCTGAAACACTTGTCTTTCCTTGGCTTCCATGACATCTGCTCTCCTGGTTTCCTGTCTGCGCTCTGGCTGCACCTCCTTGGATCTTGCTGATTTGTCTTCTTGCCTCCTCACCCATTTCTTGACATTGAAGGACCACTGGCCTCATTCCCTATTCCTCTTTCTCCATCTTCTCTCAGGCCCTTAGAGACATCATCTAGTTTTCTTGAGTTTAAATGCGGTCTGCATACCCCTGACTCTTGAATCCAGGTCTCTCACCTGAAGTATTTTTTCTTAATCTGCTATATAGCTTGATTCCCTGAGAGTTTTCTGATTTCACTTCTTTCTACTTGTCGCTTCTCTCACTCACTTCCCAACATATTAGCCTCAGACTACAAGCATATTCATGACTTGGCCCCTCTGTGTTAGTCATCCCCTTTTCCTAGAACACTTCTCCCAGATGTCTTCCTGGCTTATTCCCCACCATCTTTGCTTACATACCCACTTCTGAGTAAAGCCTTCCTTGACTGCCATTTAAAATTTGAAGAAAGAAATGTTCCCTCCACCAGAATTCCTATCCTCACTTCCCTGCCTTATTTTTCTCCACAGCATGTGATACCATAGGACATATGTTACTTATTTGTGTATTGTCTGTTTAGCCCATAAAATGTAAGCTGCATAAGGGTAAATATTTTCAGCTTTGGATTCACTTCTGTCTTGAACCTAGAAAATATCTTGTATGTAGAAGGTGTTCAACAAATATTAAATGCTTTAATGAGTGAATGAATGAATGTTCATTATATTACACCATTTTGTTTTCTAGGGTTTATGCAAAACAATAATATATTAAAACATATATTAAGAGTGTATCTCAGTGACATGGCCTAATAATATAGAACAATTTTGGAATTCCAGTAGATCTTGATTTTCCTTAAGAACATTACTTTTCCCCAGGCATTTAGCCCTCTGGCTGAATTATTACTGATTTTCTGCAGAAAAGAGTGAATAAACTTTCTTAGTATTTTTTCCCAGATATGAAATGAACAGTTCAGAGAAGATTCCTATTTTCCATTGTTTTTCTAGTTTTTCCCTAATGGGAAATTTTGTTCATTAGAAGCTAGTCTAAGTGCCAGATAGCAGTTAAAATTGTAACCATTTTAGTCATTTTTAAGATTCTTTTGAAAATGTTTTAGTATTTTATTGTACATTCTCATAGTGGCTTTCATAATCAAAACTTATCTTGACTGGTACTGTTTATTATTGGAAACTTATCCCTGCCAGTAATTATAGTTCTTATTCTACATAATCTGAACTTAATGCATAATAGATTTCTGGCACCACAAATGTAAGAGACAGGAAATGTTAGTAGCTTAAATGAAAATGTCCAGAAAATTCTTTGATCTTAGTGTCATGTGCTGTATCTTTATTTTAACTTCACTGCTTATGTGACTTCTGAAGATGGAGAAATGCAGCAAGAAGGGTATCCAGCTGGAGGGAACAAGTCTCTGTTACATTTTAGTACTTGTCCAGGTGTATTTGTAACTCATTATAGTGGATGTAAATGGTATTGATTCAGAATGACTAAAATTTAAGCAAAGGTTTAATTCTGAAAAAAATACTGATAATAACTTATGATTAAGTTATATCTGCTTAATACCTTTACCCAAATTAATGATACTTGCTGTTAATGTTCATTCCAACAAAAGTAACCCAACTAAGCTTGTTCTTTTCTCATGGAGACTGAGCTCTTCTCATGCCCTTTGTAACCTCACCATATAGACTTGTAAAATTTATTGACTCTAATAAAAGGTGAAAAGGTTATTTATATTAGGCTAATCAATTTGAATTTTGGAACAATCAATCAACACACCAACTAAATGTCTATTTAGCAGTTGGCATACACAAAAGAATATGAGTCAGTCACTTTCTTAAATGCAAGAAACACTCTTAGAAATTTTCTGAATTCAGATCACATTATTATTGTCAAGAAGAATTATTTAATGCAGAAAAAAATATTAACTTTTGCCTCATTTATAATGTCTTTAAGTTTTGTTATTGCTTACTAGCTTTTTGGTAAGAGAGACCTTAATTAACAACTTTTCAATCTTGTGATTTCTTCTACTTGGAAAATGTCAGAAATTATAATTAAAATATAATTTTATTTTAAAAATCAAACATATTTTGGGCTTTGTTATTATCTACTTGTTCACTTCACCTTAGTGAATGGTAAGCAGAAAAGGGGTTCGCTAGGCATAGAGTTTACGGTCACAAATACAGTAAACCTCCCAATCTGTTTAAGAGAGGAAGGCTTAGCCAGGCTGTGTTAATAAATTTCAAATGATACTGATGTAAAGTAAAGACACAGCAAGAGTTCTGTCCTGTGAGGCCAGCCTCTTCTCAGTGGGCTTTTCTTGGGGCTTAGTTTGTCTGCGTTCATTATCCTTGGAATTTCTGGATTACAAGATACTTTCACATCAAGACCAGGGTATGTTAAGAGGTAAAAAAAAATCCAATATTCTCACAGCATCCCTGCACAGTCTGCCTTCTTTTCCCAAGCTTTGTATTCCAGTAGTTACTTTACATATCATGTCCAGTGTTCTTAGTGTAATTGGTAGGGGTATCAAGTAAAGCAAGCTTTTTCTAAATGAGTAGCCATTTAGCACTTCACTTTTGAATCAATTTCCATATTATCAATAACTCCAACTAAAACAGTGCACATTGGGGAAAATGAATGGGGAATGTTGCAAAGATCAACTCCACAACTCATTTGCTCTAGAATCTAGATATAACATGCATCTTTCAGACTGCTTGCCCTGCTCTTCCCACCTCATTTGGTATCAGACTTCTAGTTAGATCACACCAAAAACCTTGCTATGTGGTACTGTTATTAACTCTTCTTTCTTTTATATCCCACGTCCAATCTGTCAGAAAATCCTGTCCTCTCTATTTTCAAAATATTAAAACTTCAAAATTAAAAACTTCTGATATTTGGAAGACACTAGTAAGAGAGTGAAAAAAACTACAAACAGAATATTTGAAAATCATATGTCTTCTAAAGGACTTATATCTAGAACATATAAAAAATTCTCAACACTCAAATAGAAATCATACAATCCAATTCAGAATAGAATGAGATTTGAACAGACACTTCAACAAAGAAGATACACAAGTGGCAGCTAAGCACAAAGATCCTCAGTGTCATTAGGAAAATACAAAATAACACCAGAATGGCTAAAATAAGAAAGACAATACCAAGTGTTGGCAAGGATATAAAACAACTGGAACTCATATGCTAGCTAGTGGGAATACAAAATGGTACAGCCACTTTGGAAAACAGTTTGACAGCCTCTTAAAAATTAAACATATTCCTAGAACATGGCCCAGCTGTTCTACTCTGTAATATTTGCCTAAAAGAAGTAAAATACATATTAATGCAAAGACTTGTATTTATATGTCCATAAGAAAGCTTTATATGTAATACTCAAAACATGGAAACTACCAAGGATCCATCAGCAGATGCAAAGATGAATTATAGTGCATCCATACAATGAAACACAACAATAAACAGAAATGAACTATTGATATAACAAACAACATGGATGAATTCAAAACCATCACGTTGAGTGAAATAAGCTGGACAATACTGGGCACATGCTGTATGATATCATTTATATATATAAAGTTTCAAAAACATAAACTGAGGAGCCAGGGATATAGCTCAGTGGAAAAGCACCTGCCTGGCAAGCACAAGGCTGTTCAATCCCTGGTACCAAAAAACACCATAAAGTAAGCTGTAGCAACAGAAGTAGATCAGTTATTACCAAGGGATGGGGATTACAAGGGGGCATGAGAAGACTTGGGAATAATGGATATACCTTCTTTTTTGATTGTAGTGATATTTTTATGGCTGTGGACATATGTCAAAAATTGTCAAACTACATTTTAAATATTCAGTTTATTATGTGCTAAATCTATCTCAATAATGGTTTCTGAGAGGAAAAAACATAATATATTCAGAGTCTATCTGTCATTCTCTCCACTGTTTTCCTCTGGCTACATCTACCATCATCTCTCATTTAGATTACTACAACAGCCTCTTAACTAATCTTCCTGCTTTTTTTGTAACTTTCATATCTCCCCAATCTGTTCTGAGCACAACAACTAGAGTGTTCCTTTAATCACCCAAAATAAACTACCCAGTCAAAAATAGGGAAACGAACAGACAGTTCACAGAGGAAGAATTAAAAAATTTTCAATAAACCCATGGAGAGATACTCAGCATCACCAGCAGTTAATGAAATATAAATGAAAACAACACTGAAAGTGTGTCTTACTCCAGAAAAAAAATGTTCATCACCAAAAAATCAAATAAAAACAAATGTTAGAAAGGCTACAGAGAAAAGGGAACCCTTCCATGCAGTTGGTAGAAATGTAAATTGGACAACCACAATGGAAATTCGTATGGAGATTCCCCAAAAAAAGAAAACCAGACCCAGGTACTCCCCTTCTAGGTATCTTCTCAAAAGAATTAAAACCATCATATTACAGAGATACGTGCATAGCCTTGTTTCTAGCAGCACAATTCATAATAGCTAGATCTTGGAAACAGCCCACAGATAAATGGACAACGAAAACGTGGCATTTACACACCATACACTATTGCCATAAAAGAGATAAACTTGAATCATCTGCAGGAAAACGGGTACACCTTGTGTTCATAAATTTACATAAAATAAACCAGTCACATAAGTTTAAATATCACATTTTTTCACTTCTCTGAGAAACAGAGTATAAATAAAGAGCAAAATAAATGATAATAGAAAGTAGGGAGATACATAGGTGGTTCTCAAAGGGGAAAGGGATCAAGAGATGGAGAGGTGAGAGAGGGAGAGAAGGGGTAAGAGATGAAAAAAGGAATTGGGATGTTTTATGTACATGCATCAGTTCCACATAAGAAATGTAAACATGTACTGAAAACATGTCCAAAAAGAAGAAAGGGGAACATGGGTAGAGGAGGAAAAGAAGGAAGGAAGGGAAAGAGGTGAAAAAGGAATTCAGATGTGTTATGTACCTGTGCTAACTTGCCACAAGGAATACTAATAAACTGTTTTTAAAAAGAGATGGAAAGAAGGGAAGGAGATGAGACAAGAATTAAAATATGTTATCTACATGTTGCAACTCTGCACAAGGCATGTACAAACATGCACTAATAAAAAATAAAAAATTGAAAAAATTCTTTTTAAACACACCTTGGAAAAAGTTAAATCAGATTATATCACTCTCACTCTGGAAACCCATAGTGGCTCCCTTTCCCTCACAAAATACAAGCCAAAGATCCTTCACAGCCTACCAAGCCTTGTCATCAATTCAGTCTAGTCTCCCAACCTGCCGCTTTACACATACTGTTCTCCTTGCGGTTTCTCAAAACTTCTAGACCTTCCCTTCACTCAGCCTTTGCCCTGGTTGTTCTCTCACCTCTTTGGAATGTTGCCTTTTCAGTTAGGCATTCATTGGCGCTTGCTATTTTAAATTTTAATGCATGCAACCCCTGTTAATTGGCTTTCCTTTTTTGATTTATTCAGTACACTTTTGTTACTTTGTAATTTACCTTTTTGTATTTTCTCATCTTTTCCAACTAGAATATGAGCTTCATGAGGGCTGGTATCTTTGTTAGTTTTACTTGTCTATCTCAAACAAATAGAGCAATGCGTGATGTATGGAAGCCCCTCAAGAAATACTTAGGGAATAAATGAATGCTTATAGCATGCGACATTGACAAATTAGAGTAAAACCGAAGGGAAGAGAAGAGCAACAAGAATAATTGAGGCAACTGGGAATGTTATCTCAAACAACAGATTTAGTGGCCACAGGGTTCCTCTCTTTATTCAATGGAAAGTGCATTGTGTTTGCTCTGTGTTGGCCAAGAAGGCAGAGCTGGCCTAAACAAGCCAAGTGTGGGCCCAGGCAGAATAATAACCCATCAGGATCTGAAGAGGATCCCAAGGGGAAATGGTTGAATTAGATGGCCTTGCGAAATTTTTTGTAGTTGGGAGATTCTATGACTTTTGTAGAATCAGTTGTACAGTTAATTTTTCAAATGCTTATTTTGCCTGGCAAATAAGATGTCAAAGACTTTCATAATAATTATGACTAATTATTTTAGCCACATAGCTGTATATCTGAAAAATAGGTGACTTATTATGTCAGTCCTTTATTATTGCTGACAACAAAACATTGTTTTACTATCAACTTCAATGTTCATATTCACTGTTTCAGAATGATTACCAGTATCTTGAAATAAAACCCTCAATCTCCTAGAACTAAATCTAACTTCACATTTAAGAATTTGGGCTTTATTGTTCCTTTTACGTGAAGCTTCTTCACTTTCATAAATGGTTATATATGTTTATTACCTTTCTTTTTTTATAGGAGCGGGATCGTTATGCCTACAAAATTCATCTTCCAGAAACAGTAGAACAACTGAGGAAATTCAATGCAAGGAGGAAACTAAAGGTAATAAGCAAATGCCAAATAGATATATTTAATAATAATGTTTTTATTCTGTTTTGGTGCCCCATAAATGTACCATAGTATTGGCCATTATGTTTGTTATAGCTAAATTTTCATTTCCAAGTATCACCAGCATTTCATTAAGATTTTGGTTTTTAAAACATTTAAGATAATAGCTCAATATGAATCTAAGCAAATGTTTTAAAACTGAAAGATAAATTATACTCTAGATTTGGTTTGTTCTTAAAATTCATAGCACAGATAGTTAATTATTATCCATTATTGTTGAATATAAATCTAATCTATTTTTTCAAATGAATATTTTGAAAGAAAATGTTTTCAGGTTTAATTCAGTGTTAAGAGGAAATAACACTGAATTAATATTGATTTAGGATTGAACAACCATCACAAAGCAATAAATAAAATCTACCCCACCTTAATCTACTAGAAAATATTTCCAGCTCACTTTCCTTATCTTTTCTTTATTCTTTTTTTTTAATTTGAAGAGGAAAAAAAAAAGAAAAAAGGGTAGAAATAATACAGAATTTCAGAAAAATAAACAGTAATAAATCACTAGTTGATAAGTTACATATTGTCATCTTAGAAATAGTTGTTCAAGTTACAAAATTAAAACATACAAAGTAATATTCAAATAATGACACTGCAAACAGTTCTGCTCAATGATCCAACAAAAACTTAGTAATATGGTTATCAGTCCTACACACTTGTTTTTTTTTTTTCTTAAAGAGGGTAAGATTAAACATGTCAAAACAGAACAGAACAGTTCATAAGGAAACAATTTAAAGAAACACAGATTTCAAAGCAAGTCCACTGGAGATCTTCACTGTCTATCTTATTGTCTCTAGTTTTCTTCCAAATAGTTGTCCCCATCTTCACACACATTGAATACATACTGAGCATTATGTATAGAACTAATCAGATCATTACAGGATGTCTCTTTCTGTCTCCCACCACTATGCCTATTCTCTACCACATCAAAAATAAAAACAAGCAAAATGGTAATTACTCATAGGGAAGCCATTTAATTTCAAAAGGTTCTGAAAAAGACCCAACATTAAATAGTAGTTTTTCCAGGTCTGGGAGAATAAGCTATGAGATACCATCCCATACCACCTTACCTCAGGGTAGCAGAAGAAACTATATTTTGGCCTTAATTTACATTTGACCTACTTTTGGCGTGAAAATATTAACTCTGTTCTTGAAGTTGTTGACTGAATAGTAGGTATCCTTAGTCATATTACTCCTACCTATAAAACTTGAAGTATTTTCAGATATCATAAGTTGTGATAATATTATTTTTTTATTATCACCCATGAAGTTTGTGAGTGATTTTATATCCTCTAGATTTGTAATCATGTTTACATGGATTTTGGGAAAACTACAATATCCTATAAATCTGAAATGCCCAACATGATACACACTAGACACATGCAGCCACTTAAATTAAACTAAGGGTCAGTTCTTTGTCACACTAGAACGTTTCAGGCGCTTAATACCCACATGTGACTACTAGTTGGCATTATTAGGCAGCACAGATACAGAACATTTCCATTACTACTTCAGTAAGTCTTACTGGCTCGGTAGCACTGCTACAGAATGAAGGAAGCTTTAATGATGCATATTCCCATTTAAACCTTTCTCTTAGTTGATTTTATAGTCAGGGGTTCAAACTGCCTGTTCTCCCTTTGCTTTTTAAAAATATCTTTAGCACAAAAACTATTAGTGATATACTGTGCCAGTATTGAGATGGTACCCAAACAAGTTTTCAAACCTTAATTCTTTTCCTGCCTAAACTGGTATAAAAAAATTCATTCAAAGTACAGTTTAGTCAGCTGTTTTTGAAGTTAGTCATTCCTCTGTGAAACTATTAGTTATACTTTTTCTCAACTCTCTTCTAAGTCATTTTAACACACCCTAATTTGGCCTTATGTGACCACATTACACTATGTGTGTTTGAACTTCCATTGCCCGAGAACAGACATTTCACCCTCAGAAGGCTCAGGCTTGCCCCTTATAACAAGAGACATTCTGTCCTCCTAATGCCATAAAATCAGACTGGGGCCTAAAATAACCAAAGTGGTGACTAAGATTCATTTGGATAGGGCCAAGCTGTCACAGCAGATAGAGGTCATGTGGATTTACCACATCCCTTTGCAGGGCTATTTAAAGTTTTAAGACACCAACCAACCTAGAATTAGGAACATCAGCAGGGTCATTATTGAATTTTTTTCAGCTTTTTCTAGTTAGAATGCATTCCTTTGGGAGGTTCAGCCACCCGTTTATCACATGTTATACCTGCCCTTCTCAGGGAACTCTCATTCTGCCCCTCCTGTGAGTTTCTAGAACACAGACTCCGACTTCCCTGACTTTCAGGGCCTACCACATAGCTTATTTTCACAAAAGAACAGCTAGATACTCATCCTTCTACCCAGATGCTGTCTAGGTTTCTCAAGACAGTGGACAACAGCCTAATTTTTAGAACTCCCTTTAAAGTGATTAAAGAGGGAAGTTCACTGAAACCAGTAAGAAATTACTTTTGTGATTTAGTCAAAGATATGAAACCTTTATTGTTGACAGCAAGAAAAAAAAGAAGGAAAGATTAGGCTGTCACTATGTTGCCTTGAGTGATCTTGGCCTTGACCCTTTCTAGCTTTGTAACCTTCAATAAATTATCTAATCTCTGTGTGCCTCAGTTTCATTCTATAGAATGGAGATAATGATGAGTTAATTTAAGATTTAATGTATTATAGCAGTTTGAACAATAATTTTAACCATATATTTCAATAAATATTACTTAAAACATTAATTATTTATTGTTGGAATTGCACATTCAATATTTTCATACCAAGATTCACCATAGCTAACTGAAACCGTGGATAAAGGGAATTACTGTACACTTTTTACAAGTATTCATTCAAGAAGAGAAAAAGCATCCATTTAAAAACTAAAACTATCTTTGTTTACAGATGGCATGATCCCATAAGTAGAAAATCCTGAGGAATTCACCAAAAAATCTATTAGAAATAACAAAAGGTCAAAAAGGTCATAGGGCACAAGATCAGTGCACAAAATTGAATTGCAGTACATTTCTATATATGAGCAATGAACAGCCTTAAAGTGAAATTAGGAAACAATCCATTCCCAAAAATATCAAAAAGAATGAAATATTTAGGAATAAATTTAACGAAAGTTTAGGCCTGTAAACTAACATTGCTGAGAGAAAGTAAAGATCTAAATAAATGGAAAGACATTTAATATTTATGGATTAGAAGTCTCATTATTAAGATGGCACTTTTTGCCTGCCATACTGAGACCCTGTCTCAAAAAATGAGAGAGGGAGAAAGAGAGAGAGACTCCATATATATGAAACATCTAAATAGGCATTTATGTCTCTAAATGCATGCAGACAGAAATCAAATTGGTGATTGCTATGTGCTGGGGAGTATCTGCTTAGTGGGTGTCAGGGTTTGTGAAGGTGATGAAAGTGGAGCTAGACAATTGTGGATGTACTAAATAATGTACCACCAAATTATATACTTCTAAATGGTTAATTTTAAATCATGGGAACCTCACAAATTTCCTGTTTTTTAATACCTTGTGACAAAATACTGGTTTAAATACTTGTTTCTACTTCAACACACTTCAGAATTGTGACATTCCCATCAGTAGCAGTGGTTCAATGCACCACTCAGCCGAGGGATCATCCATTTCCCCTCAACCCTAGGTGTGTATATAAAGTTGGAGAGGCATGTGTAATTTGGAAAATGCCACCTTATAGAGTCATCATTCCAAAGCATAAACTAATGGTTCTATACTATTCCATTACATGTACAAATTCTAATTTTAGTTAACCAACTTTTGGGCATAAAGATTGATTCTAGTTTTCTACTGCCAGAAATATGTTCCCTCTATTTTTGGTAGTGACTTTATTACTTGTACAGTTGAATCTTTTTCTCACTCTGAACGTCTTGTGAGACTTTTAATATCAGAATATAAAACATTACTCATTACCTTTATTGACATTTCAAGACTATTATTCTTTATGGATTATAATAGTGTCAATGCACAACAATCTAGAAATCTAGAAATCATTCCTTTCCATGTTATTACATGTTTTGACGCTCAACTCCTTCAGCAGGCTATAGGACACAGCAGGTCGCTAATGAAAAATTTGTTTCAATAATTGGAAAACATTAACATTATTTTAAGACTGTCTTTAAACGGTAAATAAAGTTTATGAACCCCTGCATATGATTTAAATTATTATCTCATACTTATTTTTATTCTCCTTTCTTTTATTATTTTACCTTATCTCTGTGAGTGATGATGGAAATTTCTTTTCCCCATTTTGATTATAAGACACTTCATATATTGGATTTTTTTTTCCTTCTTTTATCTCATAGTAAGCTCTAGAATTGTTACTTTGTTTTTGGGTTTTGTGGTGCTGGGGATGGAACCCAGGGCCTTGTGCATAATAAGCAAGCACTCTGCCACTGAGATATAGGCCCTGCCCACAAACTCCAGAATTTTAATACTTTAGTTTTTTAAAATCCTCTATAAACAATACTTCCCTAAATAAACTCCATAGGCCTGAGCACAGGATAAGGTATCAGATGAATATTGTCTCAAATTTAATATTAAGGTGTAGAACTGACTGTGGTCCAGGTATAAGGAATATCTATGCCTTGAGTATGTGAGTCTATTAAAGGCATATATCTGCACTTTAACCTGGGTGTCAGGTATTGAAGGAGTTACTAAGCAGAATTCCCTGGGTATCTACTGAAAAGGCTTAGGAGAAAATCTGTTCTAGAAGTCGCCACCCTTTACTTCATGAATTATTTCTACCCCTAGAAACCAAATTATCCTACAGTGAAGCTGTCAAAGAAATTCTGTGTAAATAGAAATAATATTCTGTAGTTGAATGAATTTATTACAGTCAGTTTAGGAAATAGCAGAAACCAAGTGATTCAATTAAGAGGATA